ATATATATATATATATATATATATATATATATATATATATATATATATATATATATATATATATATATATATATATATATATATATATATAGTGTATATATGTATAGTGATAACTATGCATAGTTACTTAGTGGTAACTATCGGTATGTATTTTCCCCTCTTTAAATAAAGTATTAACTAGCTAAATAGACGATGTTTTTATCTGTGATATTCTTGGAAACAAAGACGTTAAAGTAAAATTGTGATACTGAAACAACGAAAACATAAGCACTACTTTAATTAATTATATTAATTAAACATGAATAATGCATCACTATATAGTAACAGATCTTCAGTGAACGAGTTCTTGATCCAGACTTTTCAAAATCCATATTTCAAATCTTAGTCATCATAAATCAACCGTAGAATGGTCTATTTTATTTTATTTGGAATGCGTATCAGATGATTGATATATTATAGTCTCAGAATTTAGCTTAGGATAGGAGGGATAGGCAGGTATAGGAGGTAAATTGTGTGTACACGTATTGTTAAGATTTTGCGGCGATGCAGAAAAATCGATGGAATATCGAGGCATATTAGGATGATAATTTAAACTCTGCCTACGGACTGACGCGTTTTCACGAAATATAGGTATGTTCGATATATGATTAGAGTTGATATCTGTGGGCGGAACGGGGTAATTGTGTACATCCCCCTGAGTGGCACGAAGTATGGAGACTGGTACCACATCTGAGCCAGCGATATCTGTCACAGAATAAAAAGACTCGATAACCGTATCGGTTACGGGATCATTGTTGATAGATGTTTGAGACACGGGGTGACTAAGGTCATTTTCCATCGAAGTAGATGGGAAAGTAGGATCGGTAAAGTCTGAGCCTACTGTGTCCACCTTTACCACAGGTGCGATCTTTTGTTTCACGACAACTAGAGTGAATTTGGATGGTTCAGGGACAACGACGGTTGGCTTGGGACTTCTGGTGTTTTTCTTACGTTTCCCCTTAGACTTAGGTGGTACAGGAGAAGACCTAGGACTGTTAGGGTTACGCGATGGATTTTTGCGGGTTTTTGGACGAGATGAAGGACTTGCGTTTGTGTCGAATCCGGGATCATTTAATACGGTCGAAGACAGTTTGATAAAGACAGAGGATAGCGCTGTTTCGAGAGGGATAACTGACGGTAGCGCTGATGATTTTGGTACAATAGGTGGTAAAATGGTATTAGATTTTTGTACTGCTCCAATCCCCCCTCCTGGATCCGCAGTACCATGTATCTCTATCCCGGGAGGTGCGTTGTCGTATATATCTTGTCCGGGGGGTGCCGACGATGTTCCATAAATATCTGGAGTAAGGGCGTTCGTTGCACCGGTGGAATAAATGCCCACACCGTCTGTACCAGACAGATTTTCAGCTGCGATACGTTGTTGCACTAGGGAATATGAAACATAAAATTCTATTTTTTAACACAGTTTCCTATTCCTTTGATCGCACTGCAAAGATTGCAAAATGTAAAATTTTAATAACGTGCTACAACTGTAAAATGTTGCAAACAACGTTTGAATCAAATCCTGAGATTTACTTTAGTGCGTAATTTTTATTTAAAAAAAACAAATTCCCGCATACCTTCGCGTTTTTGTCCAGTTGGAGCGCCAAGGTCGTCTAATTCAGAACAGACAGAATGCGTGATGTGTATTTCTGTTCCTGGCTCGCTAAAACACAAAGAAAATAAACCGTTGAATATACAAAAAAACATGAGGACAATTTGAATATAAGCCCAGGAAAGAACCCCGAATTCCTAAAGGAATTTCTAGTGCGATTCTCTTCGTCTGATGCATATGAACGGGTAGATGAGTTGTGACTGTTCAGATGACTGGTGCGTAAGATTCATAGAAGGGTCAGAACACATATTCAGAACTCGTCAATCTACACAAGTAAAAATCTCACATCTTAATTATAGCAAGTCTGCCAACAAGCTGTCAACAAGTTGTGTTCGCACTGCTTGTCCTAAGTTGTCAACAAGTTTGTAACAAGCTGTTAACAACTTGTAACAACCTTGTTGATATTATCAGGCTTGTGGCAAGGTTGTTCCAACAAGTCCGATACAGTCATGGTATAACGATATTTTTACAACCTGGTGTCGTCAACCTTGTAACATTCTTGTTATATCATGACTGAGTAGCAGACTTGTCAGAATAACCTTGTGAGAGATCTGATAATGCCATCAAGCTTGTTCCAAACTTGTTATGACAACTACGAAAAGCAGTGCGAACACAACTTGTCGACAACTTGTGAACAAGCCCCGGCCGTGCATGCATGTGGGATTTACAATCTAAAACAAAACAATGCACAAAACTAGTTGGGGCAACTATTCTTTTTTACAAACTTCGCCCATGGCCTATTAAAAGATGCTGCCGGTTTCTAAATAGAATATATATGTTGAATTGGGTTTGATTTTATAATAATAACAACCTCATTTTTTTCTTTTTTCGTCGCTCACGTCTTCTCAGCCGTCTTTCCTCTTTTTGTAATTCACGTCTTAGTTTCCTCGTTCTAAATTCAAAACAAAAATCAATTTACTCAAAAGTGAATCTCCATTAGCTTAGAAAACGGTCATCCTATATGGCATTCTTCTCGCACGCGACTGACAAGAAATTTAAAATAGATATAAATAATTTATATACATGTAGACTACATACTATACGCAAAAATCTCACAACTTGTCAACAAGACTAAGTGTTCGCAACAGGCTTGTAGCAAGCTTGTCAACAAGTTGTAACAATGCTGTTATTTTATCAAGTTGCTACAAGGTTGTCACTTACAACTTATTGACAACTTGTTGAATTGCAGGACGATAACAAGTTGTTGGAATAACTTGTAACAAGTTTGTTCAGCTCAACAACCTAACTTGGTAATGCCCAGTGCCTTTACTGTATACCTTGTGCGAGGTAACATTCCTTTGTTCCATAAAATACTGAATACAAAACCAGCAATCAATGCGATCAACAAGATGGAGCCACCAGCAATTCCTTCGGCTGTCAGTTTATCTGAAACAACATAATACATGAATCAACATTTTAACCAATAAACAATTTGTCTGTCCAAAGCAAAGATTTTTCTGTATTAATAAAATATTTTATTCTTACTTTTCCCTCTGCCAGTGGATTTGTCTGTTTGCCCAAAACGACCTGAAACAAAGAAAAATATTCTTTTTAACAATGGACTGTGGAAATTGCTTCCCTAGCCCTGAGACTTGATCAAACTTCATCCAGTTCTAAGACTTGATCAAAACGTCATCTAGTCTTAGGACCTGATGAAACTTCATCACGTCCTAGGATTTGATCAAAACGCTATATCCATTCTTAGGACTTGATCGAACTTCATTCAGTCCTAGAACTTGATTAAAACTTCATACAATCTTGGGATTTCATCAAAACTACACTCAGTCCTATAGGACTTGATCAAACTTCATCCAGTCCTAGAACTTAATCAAAACTTCATCCAGTTCTAAGACTTGATCACAACTTCATCCAGCCAAGACTTGATCAAACTTCATCCAGTTCTAGACTTGGTCAAAACGTCATCCAGTCCTAGGACCTGATTAAACTTCATCCCGTCTTAGGACTTGATCAAAACGTTATCCATTCTTAGGACTTGGTCGAACTTCATTCAGTCCGAAGACTTGATCAAACTTCATCCAGTCCTAGGACTTGGACAAAACGTCATCCACTCCTAGGACTTGATCAAAACTTCATCCAGTCTTAGGACTTGATCAAAACTTCATCCAGTCCTAGGACTTGATCTAAACTTCATCCAGTCCTAGGACTTGATCAAACTTCATCTAGTCCTAGGACTTCATCAAACTTCATCCAGTCCTAGGACTTAATCAAACTTCATCCAGTCCTAGGACTTGATCAAAACTTCATCCAGTCCTAAGACTTCATCAAACTTCATCCAGTCCTAGGACTTAATCAAACTTCATCCAGTCCTAGGACTTGATCAAAACTTCATCCAGTCCTAGGTCTTGATCAAACTTCATCCAGTCATAGGACTTGATCAAACATCATCCAGTCCTAGGACTTAATCAAACTTCATCCAGTCCTAGGACTTGATCAAAACGTCATCCAGTCCTAGGACTTGATCAAACTTCATCCAGTCATAGGACTTGATCAAACTTCATCTAGTCCTAGGACTTCATCAAACTTCATCCAGTCCTAGGTCTTGATCGAAACGTCATCCAGTCCTTGGACTTGATCAAAACGTCATCCAGTCCTAGGACTTGATCAAACTTCATTCAGTCTTAGGACTTTATCAAACTTTATCCAGCACTAGGATTTATTGATCAAACTTCATCCAATCCTACGGACCTAGGACTTGATCAAACTTCATCCAGTCCTACGATTTGATCAAACTTTCTTCATTGTAAAATAAGGCAACAAAGGTTGGCTAATTTCGTCATAATTACTTACCTCCGCTCCGTTTATGTACAATAACCGCTGGACCAAATCCTCCTGTAGTTCCAGCTCTAATATGGAATATGTAATCCGTCCGCGGGCTCAGACCGGCGATTTTCCACACCGTGGTATTTTCCACACGCATCAAGGATTTTGTAACTTTCTCCACTATCGAGCCGGACATTTCTTGATACATCTCGATTTCATACATTGCTATGATGCCATTTTGCTTCTCTTCATCCGGTGGCGACCACGTGATTTCGATTGAAGTCGTTGTCACGGATTTGAAAATGACATCTTTAGGTGGAGCTGTTGGAGCTGAAAGAAAAATGAGACACGGGATGTAATATCTCAAATATGTAATGTTTCAAATCGAAGTACGAGGACTGGACTAGATTTCAAGTCGGCGCAATTTGATCGAGTCCGAGGCAAAGCCGAGTACTGGATCAAAATGCGAGAAGTAATACATGAACGAGAGCGAGTGTTTCACCGGGATATCCAAACACGAGAAAACAATGTATGAAAACACGAGCGTGAAGCGCGAGTGTTTTCATACCAAGGGTGGGTAGTAGCGAAGTAGTTGTAGTTCGCTACTGTAGCGAACTACAATTTTCAAGTAGCCAGCAGTTTTTGACTACATTTTTAAAACAGTAGCTGTAGTTATAGCGAACTACATTTTGCCTAAAAGTAGCCAAGTAGTTGACTACTTTTCAAACAGCAAATCGCTATTCGCTACTTATAAAAATTGTTAACAACTTGACATATAAATAGCATGATATTGAGACACGGTTTGCTTAAAATCGATACTCAATAGTCAATTTGCACTCTTGAACACTGTAGTGATTACAAAAATGTTGCTTTGTGTTAACTGTTGCTACTCGTAAGTCGATTTGTTATAGGTTACATTACAGTCTGAGTTAGTATAGATGCTCCAAATACAGTAAAACTAAAAAATATAGCGTAGCGAAATAGCGAAATAGTTCGCTACATTTTTAAGCAGTAGCTGTAGTCAGTAGCGAACTAACTTTGTTCAAAAGTAGCAGTAGTTGTAGCTGACTACATATTTTTGAAATAGCTGTAGTTATAGCGAACTACAAAAATTTTGTAGTCATCCCACCCTTGTTTCATACATTGTTTTCGAGTGTTTAGATATCTCGGTGAGACACAAGCTCGAGTTGTTTATATGGCTTCTCAGCCTTCTCAAATTAATCGAGACGTAACAGGATGTTTTCGTTTGCTGATTTGAATAGAATTCTTAACCAAGCATAACGTAATTAGGAATTCTATTCAAGTAATTTTGCATGCGTAATTAAGATATTTGATGAAAACGCTAGTGACTTTCATCAAGCTTCACTGGGTTATCCAATGGCATCTTGTGATCAAATATGTGATTGTCATTGGCTGAATTTCTCATGAATTATTAATGAATTTGAGAACTTAAAATCTAGTCCAGTACCGACATTAGAGATTGCCTCTGTGGTCAGTTCCTGCCTGTGTTGTATGTAAATTTTGTCTAGTCTAATTTATGTCTGTTATGTTCGGCGAATCTTGTAAATAAATAAATAAATAAATAAATAAATAAATAAATAAATAAATCGTGTGGGGGTGTTTTATGTGAATTCACTGACTATTGCTAATTAAGGGTCGTTTAACTTTGTAAAGAAATACAAATACTTTCAAGAGGAAACTAGAGTTTAGTGATGTATGTTTTTTTCTCGTATTCTAAAATTTAAGTAATTTTGTTTTCTGGCGTTGCCAGTTGTCAAACTCTCTAATTTGTCCCGTCGGGGGCGCCATCCGTAAACCAAACCAGCTCCAACACCCCGGCAAATAAACTTGCTCATACCTGCCTCCCCAGAACGATAATCCAAATATTGACCAGGTCCATATCCTATAACGGTCTTGGCCTCAACGTGAATATTATACATGGTAAATGGTTTCAGTCCGTCACAACTGTGCATATTCATCTGCGATTCAGGAAAGGTGACGTAATCACGACATGGCTGCGAGAAACGTTTTTCCTTTATGCACAAACGGTAGCCGATGATGTCGCCATTTCGTTTTCTAGGTTCGGGAGGCTTCCAGAATATTTGTAAGATTCGTGATCCGATACGTGTAGCGTACACTGACGTCGGCGGACCATACGGCGCTGTAAAAATATAATTGGGAGCTTATATACCCTTTGCACTGACGTCACAAATCCTTAGAGTGTCCTCCAGATGCTCCCTAACAATATCTGTTCGGGTACAACAACCACATACAGCGCAAAAACTAACCAATTTGATACAGAATTATTATAAAGTTTTTACAAAATTTGCTTTGTTTACAAAAGTTATATTATGCATAGATTGCTAATTTGTCTTCCAGATGCATCGTCAGCGGCGCTGTGACGTCATGTGCAATGGGTCTATTAAAGTGCTAAAATGATAGAAAATACATAGGTCGATCTAGGCTCAGACTTGTCTGGAGCCACTTGATGATTCCTCTTGGACGAAACAGTTGTAACTGTTGTAGACTGAAATATATCTTACCATTATCTTACCTGCAAGAAGTGTGGTTATGTTTAATACTGCTTTAGGGCTCCAACCCTTTATCTTAGTTGCTGCCATGACAACCAACACGTGCTCCGTATACGGTCGCAGTCCTTGAGTAATCTCATATGCCAGTTGTCCCCCCGGAACGCTTATAACTTCCTTACATTCTGTTCCTAAGCTTGCCTCTTGGTAGCACACGCCATATAACCTAATAATGCCATTGGCATGATTTTGTTCCGGGGGGGACCACATCAGCCTCAGGCTTGTTGCTGTGATATCTTGTGCCTCCAAGAGAAGCGGAGGGCCGCTTGGAACTATATATGCAAAAACAAATTTATTAGTGTAGATTTCGACACATATAAGTACTATATACGTGGTGCATAAAGAGCCTGTGGAGGTCGCGTGCGCGGCCGAGAGACCCTAGGAACGGGGATGCCGCTAAATTCTTATCAACTCTCATCAACTTTGAACTGGGTGCAAATTCATCCTCCGCGCTCGTCCTCCCTAGGCCCTGGGACACACGGAACTGGAAGTGCAAGAAAATTTGCAGTAGTTTCTAAAGCGCATGCTCTTGAATTGGAACGCTTTCACACGTGACAATTTTCACAGTGAAGTATTAGGAAAAAACGAAGTATTTGTGTTGACATATGTTCCTCAAGCCTCGAGAGTTCCCTCAAGGCTTGAGAGGTTTAGTAAAAGTCCCTCGGCGCTGCGCCCCTCGGGGCTTTTAGTTATACCTTATTTTGGTATCTCATGAGCACGCCCATATATATACCAAAATCCGGTGATACTGGTCGTGCTCATGAGCATACTGGATTTTGGTAGATATATGGGCGTGCTTTATTGGCATACGGCTTTTACTAAACCTCTCTCGGTTTTCGGGTACATTTAATCACTAATCGCCCTGAATGTCATGCTATTACTTATAAAATATATTAAAAAAATGAGTGAGTAATTATGTTATTTATTAGTTATTTAGTAACGTACTTGATTCGTTTGTTGTAGCAGTCAGTAGAACAGACGGCCCAAAACCAGCAATGGTTCCCGCCGAAATCTCGATAGCATACTCCGTATATGGTATCAATTCATTCACAGTATACGAAGTAGCATTATGGTTGACGTAACCCAAGCGTTGACAGGGCCAGCGAGCTGAGGCTATCTTATAGCAGATTTGGTAGCCAAAAATTCGTCCATTATTCACTTGTGAAGGCAATGGTGTCCAGGAAACTTGAATTGAGTGTGCTGTCGTGTTCAGTACTGATGTCGTCATTGGTTTCATAGCTGTAGAGATAAAAACTAGTGCTTTACACTATCAAAGTTTCTGTGATCACAGTAGAAATTTTGCATGGGTAAATTCTAATATTCCAAGCTTTGAAGGAACTTATTCCGACTTTAACAGTTACCTCAAACATCTCTTACAAATCCTTCAAAACTTAGATTTACCTATGCAATAATATTAATATTAATAAATGAAATAATTAAAATATAAACTGATTAATGAACCAATCAATTAATGCCTCAATCATCTAATGAATAAATCAAGTAATTAATTAACAAACTAATTAATGTATCAATCGTCTAAACAATAAATCAACTAATTAATAAACCAACTAATTAATGTGTCAATCGTCCATCAATAAATCAACGAATTAATGAACCAATTAATTAATGCGTCAATCATCTAATCAGTAAGTAAACTCAGTTAATGAACCAATCAATTAATGCATCAATCATCTATATATATTAATTATAAACTAGTTAATGAACCAACAATTAATGCATCAATCAACTAATCAATTAATCAACTAATTAATCAACCAATCAATTAATATATCAATCATCTAATCAATAAACTAATTATATATCCTTACCAGGTGCACAGCCGAAGACTTGTACACTCACACATGAATGAGCACCCACGAAAGTTTGAACTTCAAAGCGGATAAAACGAGTTAAAACCGTTTCATCGATGAAATGCGTGACTTCCCTGCCCTCGATTGTGTCTGCGTTTCCATCAAGGACCTGCAAAAAATGTGCGACTTCAGTCATTGGCCGTATTTATATTAGAAGACGGCTTTAACGTCTGAGACGACTTAACCGTCTGAGACGTTAAAGTCGTCTAATATAAATACGGTAAATTAGATAGACGAATAAAAAATTAAGGTCGTCTGTTAAGTGAGTCCAAACGACGCACTTAACAGACGACTTAATCGTCTTAGACGTTTAATTCGTCTAGTATAAATACGAGACGACTAAACTTGGACGCACTTAGAAGGGAAACACTGCAGAAGGTTGTCAAATTACTACATTTTATATTTTCTTGGTTTTATTGTATACTGGTTTCCAACTGTTCATCTCGTATTTATATTAATTGTGTTATGTTTTTATCGGAGTTTATGTTAATTTGTGCACGGTCACGGTGATTGAGCTCATTGTATTTTCGTATAATGAAATAATCGGCCATTATTCACTTATTCATTACTCAATCGAACTTTTTTGTGTTTTCCTTTGCTGTTTGAGAAAACTACTATATCTTTTTCATTATCAACAGAAGACACTTCAAATTGCGTTCAAATATTGAAGACTAAAAAGCAATGTCAACAGTCATATGCCAATACAATACGTAAATTAATCAATCAATCAGAGTCACTATCTTTGTCAGGAGGCAAATGGTGTTTCCAAAGAAACTACATGTGCAGACAACATGGTCCCTTAGAGTAGTGAGTCATTTGGAAATGACAATAAATTTCTATTACCCAACCCTTGAGTTGTTTTGTTTTTCATATACCCGGCAACCTTTTACTCAACTGGGAATGTTGTTTACCTAATCCTTTTCTTTTCGGTGCCGGCCCCGCCCGCCATAAACAATTATTCCGCTCCCTTACCGGTTCCCCGCCGACATTGACAAAATTCCATTCCATGCTATCCAAACTATGCGAGACTTTGTACGAGGAAACCCAGCTATCCCAGTGATCTTTGTGTCGTCTTGTTGCGAAACCAATAACCCTTAGTGGTCCACCAAAGTCGATCTGCATGTACGCGTTGTTTTTCAAACCGCTGTCACACCAAGGGAAGTCACTGTCTATAGGTGACTGGTGCGGGCCGTATCTTCTACCGAGAAATCCGCTGGCAGTAAAACTGTCGTTGCTTACATAGTCACCAGCTGTGTTTAGGACGGGAAGATCGCACACACCTGTTACGAAAACGAAACACAAGTTGCGTCATCGAGTAGAAGTATACATACGTATTAAAAACACACAAGTTGTCACAGGTCTGTAAACAAGTTGTTACAATTCTGTTCACAAGCTGTCGACAATTGTGTTCGCACTGCTTGTTCCCAGTTGTTGTAAAAAGTTTGGAACAAGCTGTTCACAATTTGTAACAAGCTTGATGGCATTATCAGACTCGTTACAAGGTTGTTCTAACAAGTCTGATACAGTCATGATATAACAAGAATGTTACAAGGTTGACGACACAAGGTTGTAACAATATTGTTATATCATGACTGTATCGGACTTGTTGGAACAACCTTGCAACAATTAGTCTGATAATATTAATAACAAGGTTTTTACAAGTTGTCAACAGCCTGTTCCAAACTTGTTGACAACTTTTGAGACAAGTAGTGCGAACGCAACTTGTTTACGACTTGTTGGCAGACTTGTTACAACGTTGTCGAGCTCAACAGACTTGTTACAAGTTGTTCCAACAACTTGTTATCGTCCTGCAATTCAACAATTTCTCAACAAGTTGTGAGTAACAACATTGTAGCAACTTAATAAAATAACAGCATTGTTACAACATGTTGACAAACTTGCTATACACGCCTGTCACGAACACATCTTGTTGACAAGTTGTGAGATTTTTTACGTGTGTAGCTAAGTGCCATTTTCTACATAGAATGTCTTATACAATTTCCGTAAATATATCATGTTATTTTAGCATGTGATGTGGCAGAGCAGTGCAATGATCCAGTGCCAATTCAACCCAAACACACCAGAGAACCATACAGAAGATTGAAGAAAAAAGAATGGTCCCAAATACAAAACAAAAAAGAAAATTATTTAGAAAATAAAAAGCATGTGTCTGACAATGTAAATATTCCTTTCTTGTAGAAAGATGGATGGTACATGCAAATGTTACGTGCAGACGAAGTGGCACCGAAGTGGCACCGAAAAGAAATGTTTTTCGTGGGAAACATTTTGCTGATCGATCGCTCCCTTATTGGAACAAGTTTGTTTGTCTCGTCAATTGTTGGAAAAACCTTGCAACAAGTCTATACGTCAGCTTTACCTGCGGTCTTCTGAATAAAAGCAGCCGGTCCCAGTCCTATGATAGTCGCGGCTCGAATCACCACCACATATTCGCTACTCGGACTCAGGCCACCGTACGCGTAACTTTTCTCATTCTGTCGCGGTATTTGCGCCGTTCTGGTACACGTAAAATCGGGACCATATTTTCGTATACACACGTGATAGTAGATGATAATGCCATTGTGTAATTCTGGGTGAGGCTCTGTCCATGAGAAACTAATCGTCGACTCGTCTAGGTACTTCACAACTTTTTCCATTGGTGGGCCATCTGGCTCTGAAATTAAAGAGAAATTGATTTAAACAGCGGTACAATAAAGTTTTAGCGAGATTTAAAAATCTCATAACTTGTGAAAAAGATGTGTTCGCAACAGGCTTGTAGCAAGCTTCTCGACAAGTTGCAGCAATGCTGTTATTTTATCAAGTTGCTACAAGGTTGTCACTCACAACTTGTTGAGAAATTGTTGAAATGCAGGACGATAACAAGTTGTTGGAACAACTTGTAACAAATCTGTTGAACAACCTTGTAGCAAGTTGTCAACAAGCGTTAACAACTTGTCAACAAGCTGGGAACAAGCAGTGTGAACACGTCCTGTTGACAAGTTGTTGAAACAGCATTGCCACAAGTCTGCTGCAGGTTTGTTGTGAATACACCCTTTCGATAATTACGTCACACATACTTTTTGGTCTGGAAGCCTCGCTCTCATTAGTAAATTACGCAAGGTGATTGGCTCACGATTCATGAGAGCGAGGCTCCTGGGTGAAATGACGTAATTATCGAAAGAATGTATTGTGTAATGTAAATCGTGCCATAATCTGCAAACCTGACTGCGCTGTCCTTTGAGTAATACTTCCTGTGGGACCAAATCCTTTGACGGTGGCTGCTCGGATTGTAACACTATACACACGATACGGTCTTAGCCCACTAAACGTGTACGACGTTTGTGTAAATTCAAACGTATCTTCGTGCAGACAGAAGCCGTAGGTTTGGTTTCTGAGACACAGCTGATACTTAGTAATCACGCCGTTCCTTTTGGAGGGGTCTGGGGGCGACCACGTAATGTTCATTTCATTATGAGTGAAGTTAGTCACTTGTATGTTTGTCGGTGGGCCAGATGGTGCTGAAATAAGAAAGTGATTGTATATTAGTCTTGCTCTCTGATCCAGATCAAGGGCAAGGCTTAATCTAGTACGGCGACATGACAAGAAACAGCCTTGAACTTTTCTCAATCATAAACATTAGAATGTTAGGGTTTGTAATCCAAGTGAGTATATATACATTTTAAGACCTAACCAGGAACGACTGCGAAAAATGTAGCACAAGGTCCTCTGGTAGGAATTGAACCTATGGTTTCACAAGGTCCTCTGGTAGGAATTAAACCATAAACCCTGTGTTAACCTTGATCTTTGACTGTATTATTTTTCATTCGATAGATAATAAACGATATGTTTTTATCGGCAAATCAGTTTAGTTCAACGTGTTTGTTTATACTTAAGGTCGCTATTTCCTTTCTTTTTTTTTTTGGGGGGGGAGGGGAGGGGGGGTAGAGGGAT